AACACCGGATACTATAAATCATTTTTAAAATATTGAAATTTTTCATTCTTTTATGCGGAAGTATTCTTTTGATAAGAATATCTCAAATTTAAAAGAGTTCAAAGACTTTTTTTTTTCTTTTTCACTTCCTTCAAACTGATCTTATTTGAGTTCCAGCATTTTTCATGAAATTATAGAATAATATTTTGTTATTTAACTACAAAAACTTTGAAATCCAGAATAATATAATTGGATTCACATATATTGAACAAATAAAAAATAATTTTAGGTAGATTTCTTAATACATATACTAAGATATCATGGATTCATACATATACTTAGGTTGATTTTTGAACCTTTTGGATATGTATATAATAACTTGTTAAGTTGAACTTACAAAATTCACTTCAAATATGTCTCTACTCCGTAGTCAGAGGTAGAGCTAGAGTGTAAGTTGGAGGTTTACATGAATCCATGATATCTTAGTATATGTATTAAAAAATCTACCTAAAATATTTATATATACACGCAAAAGTAGTGCGGGAAAAATTTACATGCAAAAATTTCAAAATAGAACAAAATAATGATGGAGTACCTAAAAAGAAATATTTATTATATATAATTTCAAAATATCATAAAGATTAGATCGTAAATGCACCTTTTATAAAAAAAAAGATTCTTAAAAGTTATGGCAGGTCAATTTGGGCCAAGTAAAATGAATTAAAGTGAGAATTACAATGTAAAAAAATAACCTTTATCACAATTAAGAGTGTACGTGGTCGGGTTAGTATGAGTTTTTTAAATATCGAATTAAACTATTTGTATCGAATTTTTAATTCTATAAACCAAACCAAATCAATAAAATTCGAGTTTTTCAACCTAAAGTTTTTTCGAAATTGTTCGGGTTTTTCGCTAAACTATTAATTCAAACATATAATTTACTTGTATATCTAAAATTTCTTCAATTCAACTAAAATACAACCATCTAATGACACTAATATAATAATAATAATAATAATAATAATAATAATAATAATGAAATCGCGTAATAAAATTACAGATTAACAAGTCATAATGAAAATGATCATAATTTAAAAGTACTAAACATGTTAAAATAATTTTGATAAGTATTAGTTACATGACTAAATATTAAGGAAACTAAAATTAGATTATATATTTAAATTGTTTAAACCAATGTAAAATCAAAGAACAAATATTTAATATTATTGTCATTGTTAGGGTTAAATTGTTTTTCTCTTTGTATTGGTATTAGTTTGATTTTGATTTAAGTTTTATTATAATTATTAACATCCGTAGACTATAAGCTTTATGGAACCATTCAAAATTCTAAGTTTCAAACTTGAAATAATATATTAAAAGATTATAAACCATGAAAAAATATAAGAAATATTTAAAAATTATATCAAAGTGAATATTTTTATGTATAAAATACAACACTAAAATTATATTATAATATCGGATTGGTTTAGTCTCGGGTTTATTTTGTAAAGTTAAAATGAAACCAACCCAATCCAAATATAGTCGGGTTTTTTTTTTTCAACACCTAACCAAGTCAAACCAACCACTAATTGAATTTTTTTCTTGATTTGACTTGATTTACAATTTGATTCGATTTTCAATTCGATTTTATACACCCCTAATTACAACTATATATAGAGACACGGTTATTATGGTTACAACCAAGATCTTATAGATATTTAACATATTTGTCATGAAATAAAAGTTCAAAGTTTATTGGATTTCAAATTCCTTCAAAAATAAACCTTTATCATCTTTATAATTACTTCAACTAATCGAAATTTGCGTTGAATTATGTGATCGTGTCCATGAAGCTTGCTTGCAAGTAGCTTCCTATATTGAATTTTACTTACGATAGTATTTATATTATTTAAGCTAATTTGTATAGACCTACAATTTTGCATAAATGTGATCGAGTGTATAACATAGAATTGTTGTGTAAGCAGTTTAGTGACGCTTTGTCATTAATTTGTATATTATTTTTTTTTTTTTGAATTCACATAGTAAGGTTAGTAATTATTCTGCATGAAGAGCATTTCCAACTTTTATGTTGCGTGCGTAGTTAGAGATGCATGATTGGGCAAATTCACAATTTAATTTACTTTTAGGGAGTGTTTGGTATGAATGAAGGGTTTTTCATGAAAAATATTTTTTTCTAAAAAAATAAGTAGAATTTTGATGTATTTTTTTATATTTGGTTGATGAGTAGAAAATATTTTTGAAAATAATTTTTTTTGTATTTGATTTTGAATTTTTAATTTAGAAAATATCTTTTATTTTTATTAGAGAGCTATAATAATTTTTAAAAATGAAAATTGTTTTTTAAAAATAAACTTTTTTTTGTGGGGGAGAGTAGGGTTGAAATTGGTTAAAAAAAATTGAAATTTAAAATATTTTTTATAAACAAACTTAATTTTTTTTGGAGGGCGGGTGGGGTGGGGCTGATTGGTGGAGTGGGTGAAAAAACAAAAAGTTATAATTAGTAATATTTTTTACAAAACAAACAATAATTTATTTATTTTTGGGGTGGGGTTGGGGGACTAGTAGGGGGCTGGTGGGGGCGAGGGTAGGGGTGAGTGAAGACTAATAATTTGAAATTGCAAATATTCTTTAAAAATAAATTTAAAATAATAAAAAATTGAAGTCAATTTTTTTTTAAAAAAATAAATTTAAAATTTATTTTTTTGAGGGGGTGGAGAGCTGGGGGTTTCAAGGGTAGGGGGTGGGGTGGAGTGGAGTGAACAAATAAAAATTCAAAATTACAAATATTTTTAAAAACATACTATAATTTTTTTGTTGGGAGAGTGGTAGGGGTGAGTGTGGGTTAAAATAATAAAAAATTATAGTTGAAAATATTTTTTAAAAAATAAGATTTAAATTTATTTTTCAAAAAAAAAGAAATTGTAATTTGAACTTGAAAAAGAGTTTTGGAAAATGTTTTCCATAATTTTCTTTTGGCCATTATCATGCTTTGAATTCATAAACATAAAGATTTACTAACCTACAATCACGAATATTTCCTACTCAACGACGAAGAAAAATGTGAAACCCTAGCCTTGAAATGAAGGAGAATGGGTGTAATCGTTTATGAAAATAATGAAATGAGGAAACAAAGAGTAATTAAGATTTAGGGATTTGGTCTATGTGGCAGTAGAACCCTATAGGCTTGCAATGTAGCATCCATGTGGCAGCCACATGACATTTAACAACTTTGTTAATAAGGACATTTTTTACCAATAGGTTGACGGAAAGGATAGTTTTGAGTCGAAATAGATATAGTTAAGGATAAAAATAAGCTATTTTTAATAGTTTAAATGTATTTTTAACCAGTTTTCTTTTAGTTTATGTGACAGTGGAACCCTATTGGCGTGCAAAAAGGCATCCACATGACATTTAATAACTTTCGCTAATAATTAAAAAGGACTCTTTTGACCCGATAGTTTGACAGAAAGGATAGTTTTGAGCCCAAAATATAGTTTAAGGGTATACATAAACTATTTCGATGAATTTAAGAATAATTTTTACTCTTTTCTATTCGTAATATTAATTTGGGTTAATGGACCAAGATGATGGTGAAGAAATCAAGGCATTTGAATTGTAAAATTTTTATGATTTCTATTTCTATTAATACATTTCACATTATGTTATATATGATTTTATCAATTTTGGGTATTAATATTTATTGCGACTTTATCCTTTTTAGACCTTTTTGTATATTTTTAACAATTATATATAATTACTTCTTGTGTATTTTTATATTATCAACAGATATACGTCCTAATCATTATTAGTATAATTTTAAAATTTTTATATATATTTATTTGTATATTTATCAGGTAATTTTTTTATATCATTCTTTGTTTAGCATTGAATCGGCACCAGCAGGGATGGAGAGGAGATCATTGTAAGCTTAAAATGTAACTTATCGACTATCACACTTATTTTCATGCTCTACTACGAAAATCATTTTCAAATATGAAAGAAAATTATTTATATATAGATAAAATTTTAAATAAAATATGAAAATAGTGACCTAAATAAAAGTAATATATGAACTCTCTCAAGTGCTAATTGTTGTAGAAGGTGAAATGAAAGTCTTTTTTTTATTTTTGTAAAAAGTTAAGTAGCGTGATATTTTTAACCTCTTGATTTGGTAGGAGTTAAAATAAATGAGAGTCAAGAATCAGACATGAGTGAAAAATGTTGGGGGTCCAAAGTTAAATTAAACTTTATAATAATAGACCTTAAATTTTAAGAAAAATCATAATTGTAATATGATTCATGTTTTAATATTTCAACATATTTAAATACTAAGAAGTGAAATAAAAATACTCCTCTGAGGTAAAAATATTTAAAATATTATAAATAGAACTTGTATTTTTGATATTGATAGCTAAATAACATAGTAAAATTTTATTATCTCAATTTGAACTTTGGAAGAAAGTAAAAGAAATATAATTTAAATTTATTCAATGTCACTTATCTCTTTGATTGGACAACTTATTAATCTAAGAGTAAATTTTAAGTTTAATAAAGGAAAAAAATATAAATATAAGTTTTATCACAGAAGAAAATAATAATATAGAATGTAAATTAACCATACCACATTGGTTAAATAAATCTCTTTTTTCTACAGAAAATATTATGTACTTTCTACCCTAAATATTCATTGTAAAGGAATATTAATATAGAATTAATGTATTATTAATAACAAAAATATAGGGTCTTAAAATTATAGGGGGTGTAAAGTCGTTGCTCATAATTAAACGACTTTACCATCATTAATGTAATTTATGCCATTTGTTTTTTCATGTTTTCACTGCAAAACAATTTTTCTCATCGTAAAGAGAGATAATATTCTTAAAACGCAACATACATTTTTTTTAAAAATATTCATTCATACCAAACACAGCAATAAATCAAACACATAAACATATGTCAAATTATGAGTTTTACTATTTTCAAATATCATTAGAATAAACTTGATGGGACTAAATTTGATAATTTTTATTCATCCAATATAGGGACAGACCTTCATTACACACTGGATAAAATGTAAAAAAAAATAGCCTTTACGCCACAGCCGTTCATCCTCTATCGAATGAACTATAAAAGTAATAAAAACAGCCTTTACGGCCACAACCGTTCATCCTCTATCGAATGAACTATAGAACTATATAAAATAACTTTTACGACCACAACAATTCATAATCTAAAGATAATCTTGAAAATAAACATGCCTATACGACGACAGTTGTTCATCCTCCACCGAATGAACTTCAAAAGTAAATATGATATTGATCATTTGGGGGTTGTCATCAACATTATCTCATTTGCAGCTTGCTTGTACATGTCTTCTACGGTGAATCCTTCGGAGAATTGAGCTACCCCACTTCCACCTTTAGCCTAAATACACAACAAACATGTTTTTAGAAACAAGCAATAATAACAACAATAATAATATAGTCACTATATATGTTCATATGTTTATTCATATGATCATGTAAAAGTAGAAAGACTATTCAGGTAAAATAATGTAAATAATTTCTAAACATAATCTATGACTAAACTATATGTAGGAGCAAATCGAGAATTTCAACCTCAGGGTAAGACTAGGTGCGAGGAGGCATTTCTAAAAGAAAAAGAGGATAGATATATACTGTTTTTACTTTCGATTTCATGTAAAGATAAATTCTCAATTAGATGTGAAACTTATAAGAGAAAAACAACTATATATTTCTCAAACACTCAATTCAAAAGAATTTATAAACACGTGTCATTTTCAATTTCCTGATCAATCAAACAAATACATTTAAAATAAAAGAAGAGTGTGCTAACTAAAAATCTTAGTTCACAGTGTTCAAAATGACCAATATATTATTTTTATAAAAATGAAAGGACTTACATGAGCTTGGATCATGAACATGCTTCTGAATTGATCAGATGAAATTTTAGCAGACACAGTGTCAATCTTATGTTTCTCCAAAACATAACAAATGGTGGTAAATAGCCCTGGCTTTTTAGGACAACAAACACTAATATGTGCATCTTCACCAGCTACATTTAGTACCACATTTGGTGAACTCCATGTCATAAAACCTGTAGGACCATGATTAGCTGGTGTAATAGCTTTAGAATTACAGATTGATCCTTGATCACCCCCATACTTTTCCCAACTATTACCAACTTTTTGTGAACCCACTAACATGATGTTATTTTCTTCTAGCCTTTCTAGCTTTTGACTTTCAAGTTTATTGAAAGTATTCTGCAGATTTCGAATGTGATTCGCTGCTTCATAAACTATTTTAGACTTATCCGCCTGCATATACAAAAAATATGAAATTAGTTTCAAGTAATTTATGAGTTTCTAAATAATATTCATTGAATAAGTACAAGTTATAAAAAAAAGCTTTAATTTTGAATTGTTAATTTTTAAATTATGTCTATTACGCATTTGAGTCCCAAAGATCTTATAATTATATGGATTAAGAAAATATATTCTTCTTGAAATATTTATAATAGAATTAGTACAATGTTGAGAACTTCATATTCTTATGCTAGAAAAGAAAACAGAGAAATATATGGAGCTTTTTTTTGTATCTATATATGTGAAAAAATCGAAGTTTGATATTATTTTTTTATTTTTTATTATAAACAAAACATATCTTATTATTCAATTTTGAAATTAACAGGTAATGGCCCAAGTTACAGTTTCAGCATGTATCCTTTAGTAAGCTTTCTAAAAAGAGAATCATGTCTCCATTAGTAAACTTTCTAAAAATGATTCTCCTCATTTATTTGCTCAATTTAGAAAGTTGAAAATACGAAACAATCACATATGTAACTTAAAGGGTTATTATATGTAATTTCCAAAAAGAATAAAAAAAATTAATTTCCAAAAATAATGTTCATTTTCGAATAATTTTCGATAAGTTGATTTTGATTATTATTTTGCAGAAGATAATAAAAGAAAAATGAAAATTTGTTTCTACAAATAATCATAAAATTTATTGAATTATATCTTTTTTTATTGATAAGATATCGGATAATAAAAAATAAGATATGTCATTTCAAGAACTTTTTACCTTAACAGGGAGGTTGGGAACCAAAGCATGAAGAGTCTCGAATAGGGTCCGCATCTTCTTTCTCCTTTCTCTTTCTGTCCATTTGTGTACCTCATGTTTTGATGCTCTTCTAACTTCGGCTCCATCAACACTAGAATTTGGTTCAGCAATTTTCTTACCCTTTTTTTTTCGGTTGGCTGAACTTCTCTTTTTGGCGACATTAACACTCACATCAACCACCTCATTAATAAATGTTAATGGCTGGCAAGTATCAGACCCAGTCGGATCTAGCAACTTGTTACCCTCGATCTCTCCGCTCTCAACTTGATGGTCATTCCAGTCTAGGTGTGACCACATATCATCACACAAATGATCATGATTATTCTCGCCGCCTTCATTCATTGTTTTTCTTTTTCAAGTTATGTAATATTGTAGCACATGTTACGCCTATTTATAGAACTTTCTTCTTATAGGGGGCAAAGTGTAAAAATGAGAAATAAGAGATTGAATATGATAAATATTGAATATGGAAAGAATATAGAGAAGGGTGGCAAAAAGAAACAAATAAAAAAAAACAAAAAATAGAGATTAAAAAGGATGATTCATTACAAATGAATAAAAAACAAAATACAATCATAATCTTAAATGCCGTTACTGGCTTCAAAACATAAAAGTTAGCTAAAATACTTTTGTTACAAATTTTGTTCTCAGACAATTGGGTCTCCATTCATATTTACTACTAATAAAATTTATAAATTAAAAATAATTACTTTACTAAATTACAAACTTAATCAAGTTATTATTCTTATCTATACAAATACCTAAGTTTTTTTTCAATTAAAATAATAATAATTATAATGATTGTATTTATAATTGTTTAAGATTTTATTTGTTTAGAAAAATGCAAATCTTAATTCTTAAGTTATATGAATTAGGTGTGTCTGGATTGTAGTCTTATAATATATAAGAGATTGCATTATTAACGGTAATGAGATTTTAATATATTCAGGTGATTATCAATGTCAATAAAATTTCATTAATAGCTGGCTCCGACTATATACATTTTTTACTCATTTATTAATGTTAATGAAATCTCATTAATGGATTTTATTAATAATTTTTTATGCATCTTTTTACTCATTTATTCAAGTTAACCACACAAGAATTAATAATTAAGTATTTTTTTTCGTGAATAATTTTTTTTTATCATGCCATATTCGTTTCATATAAAAGAAAAGATCATCATTTTATTTTATCTTTTGGCTAGGATGTCAAAATGACTCTAAATACTAATCATAACTTTCCCTTTATTAGGAAAAAACGGAATTAGTTAGGATATTAATTCCTCGCAATCCTTCATTAGTTTGTAGCTAGCAATTCTTTTGACAATTCATTAATAAATGATATAATCGATGAATTTTTATTATTTATTGATAACTAAAATTGTTTATTGCTATATTCATTAATTATGACAATTAGGAATATCGAATGTAGGGTGGTGTATTGATTGGTTTAGTTTAGTTTTGAAGTCTATCGATTCGACTTATTGTTGATTTGTAGACATGTTAAATCATTGTAGCCATTAAGATATTGACTTACCAATTGCCGATTTATTAGTTTAACCATTAGGATTTAATACAAAATAAATCATTGAAATCGATTAGAAACAAGGTGACAAATCAAATGAACCATGCACATGAGTTGACAAACTGTATTTTGCTCAAAAGCAAAGACCTCACAGTTTATAATGACATAGAGTTTGAACTAATACAAAATAAAAGTATCAAATTAAACTCTAAGTCAACGACTTTAATGATATATGAAATGGTATAAATATCATTTTTAAATTTACCATGGGATTATCAATTATTCGTTAACGGAAAAACTCAATATGTTCAGAAGCAATAACCCAATAATAAAAATATAAAACCTTTATCAAAACTACTAAACCAATAACCCATTATCGATAAACTAATAATTTTTTCAGTTTGAATTATCGATTTTGATTCGATCTTGAACTACTCTAATCAAATAGATGGATTAATTGAATTTGAACATATTAAATCAAAATTGAGTTAATAAATAAACGAGTCAAATGACTTGGATTGAAATAGACTAGAATCTCTGTCATAGCGAAAAATATCCCTCAACTTTCGTTTATTGTTTGATTTTATGCTCGCCGTTAAAATGAAGTTAAACTTACCCCCGTCGTTACTAATTTTATCAAAGTGAAGTTAAATAAGAATTTTGGGGATTCTGTTAAATAAGATTTTGTTCTAGTTGAACATTTACACAAGCGAAGAAGAAACATGATCCAACGAATAAAGATAAATCATTGAAAATTAGATCCAAACATAGGGGTGGGCATAAACACCGGAAAATCGAAACACCGTACCGAATCGAATTTTTTTCAAAATTTCGATTTCGATATTTGGTTTACTTTTTTGTAATTTTTGGTATTTTGATTCGATTTTCGATACGTAATATTTTGGTATTCGATATTTCGGTTTAAACCGAAATATTATAGTATAATTTATATTATATTAATTAATAATTATTAAGGTTAAATAATCTTTCAAAAAAAGAAAAAAGTATGTGAAACCCTATGTAATGTCCCTATTTCTCTTCCTCTTGGAGGCAGCACCTATTCCTATTCTAGTCTTCTTCCTCTTCTTTCTCTTCCTCTTTCAGGCAGCAGCAGCAGCCGCCCACCAGGCCCCACAGCAGCCGCCAGATGTCTATTTTTGCTTTTTAGCCCATTAAGTTGAAAAATCAAACAAAAAAATTGTAAAGTTTAAAATTTTAAAAAGCCCACTAAGCAGGCCCATCAAAAATCGAAATAAAAAACAGAATCGAATTAATAAAAACCGAACCGAAATAACAAAAACTGAACTGAACCGAAATATTTTGGTTCGTTATTCGGTATACATTTTACAAGAATCGAAAACCAAAAAAATCGAAAAAGAAAATTCAAAATCGAACCGAAATGCCGAATGCCCACCTCTATTTAAACATTCATATATAAGGGTAAATTTATCAAATCTAAATTAATTTATATATTTTTTTAAATAGGTTTAAAGAATGGTTATAAGAAAATAAAAATAAGGGAGGTAGACGTAATATCGTAAACCACAGGGAAGGTGAGTGTTATAGAGCGAAGCCTGGAGGGAGGTCTCTGAAATTATCTCTATTTATTAAGGGTTTTTTTCAAGTAAAAGTATAAATATATAAATAAAAATATTAACCTAATTATTTGAATTTGGACTCTCTTTAATTTTAAATTTTAATATTATATTATATTTTTTAATTAATTATTATTGACCTAGGGGTCGGCCCTACCTATATTCCTCAAGTCCATCAAATCAACAGGCTTATTAAGGCCGAGCTAAAAAACTCTTTTCTTAAATGGGCTCCAAAAATCTTAGCTCAACCCTATTAAATCCCGGATTAGGCCAGGTCGGTCCAACGGCCTATCCCATATTGACAGCTCTAGTTATGACAGATCAATATGGGCCAAGCAAAATGAATAAAGTGAGAATTATAAAGTAAGAAAATAAACTTTTATCACAACTATATATAGTGACACAGTGATTAATGTTACAATCTAGATCTAATAGATATTTAGCTTATTTGTCAAGTGATATAAAAGTTCAAAGTTTGCAATTTTCTATCTAGTTTATTTGATTTCAAATTCCTTCAAAATACAGTTTTATCATCTTTACAATTACAACAACTAATCGAAATTTGCGTTGAATTATACGATTGTATCCATGAAACTTGCTAGTAAGTAGCTTCCTATATTGAATTATACTTACGATAGTATTTATATTATTTATGCTAATTGTATAGACCTACAATTAGCATAGATGTATGAGTACAAGGTAGATTTGTTGTGTAAGCAGTTTAGTGATGCTTTATCATTGATTTTTTTTATCTTTTTAAATTGAGCTAGTTTCAACTTTTATGTTGCATGCGTAGTTAGAGATGCACGATTAGGCAAATTCACAATTTACTTTAAGGGTGTGTTTGGTATTTTTTAAGGATTTTTGATGAAAAATATTTTCCTGAAAAATAAGTAGTTTTGTGACTTATTTTCTTATGTTAGTTTGATGAGTAGAAAAAGAATTTTGGAAAAAAATTTTAGTATTTGATTTATGAATGAAAAAATATCTTTTATTTTTATTGGAGAGCTAAAATAATTTTTGAAATTGAAAATACTTTTTAAAAATAAACTTAGTTCTTTTTTTTTTAGGGGGAGGGGATAAGGTGGGTAAAAAAAATTAAAAATACTTTTTAAAAACAAACTAAAATTTTTTTTTGGAGGAGGATGAGGAGGGGAGGGGGAGGATAGTAGTGGGTTGGGTGAAAAAAAATTATAAGTAGAGATATTCTTTTAAAACAAATTATGATTTTTTTTTTTTGGAGGGCCGGGAGTGGTTAGGGGTGGCTGGTGTGGTCAAGGGTAGGGGGTGTGGTGAAAGTGGAAAATTTTCAAATTGTAAACATTTTCTAAAAGCAAACATAAAAAAATTAAAAATTATAGTCGAAAATATTTTCAAAAAATAAATTAAAATTCTTTTTTGGAGGGGGGTGGGGGCTGTGGAGAGGGCGTATCAAGGATAGGGGTGGGATGAAAAAAT